GAGGCCATTGCTACTAGGGTGGAGGCCATGGCTCTTAGGAACTCCCAGCCTCCCAGCTTCTGCCCCGCACGCGACCCTGGCCTTTTAGGTCCGACCCGCGCCCCAGCTCGGGCGCCTTCTCGCGGCAAGCCTTGAAGCCTCAGCAGCCGGGAAGCCTCGGACGTTTGGACCTAGTGATCCTTTGGATGATGCTTGGGAGGCCCCAAACATCACCGGAAAGTCTCAGGACCAGTAGAAGCACCCCTTTTAAAGCTCTGTTTTTGTTTTTTTTGGAACTGGGTTTTCCCACTCAACAAGCACAGGGTCGAAAAAGGTAAGCCTTGATTTTCCCGCTAGAACTGAGGTCGGTGAATTGCCCTGTCTGTGCCAGTGACATGTTCTCTGGTCGGTGTCACAATGAACTCATAGGCACCATTCACCGGCCTGGTCTGTTCAAATAGGACCGCTTGACACCACGAAGCACCGCTGTTTTCAGCACCATGTTCTTTTTGTATATATCTATATACATCTATCTTCTGGTGTTTCACGTTTGCTTTTTGCCTTTGCTCCTGCTTCTGCTTTTGCTTTTGCATTTGCTCTGGCTTCTGCTTTCGCTTCTGCAGTTGCAACTGGCCAGCGCTTCAGAAGAAGCTGTGCTGCTGCAACTGGGCAGCTTCCAGTAAAGAGCCTGTGCTGCTGCATGTGGCCAGCTTCCAAAGCTGTGCTGCTTGCAGTGGCCAGGGTCTAACGGCCGTGCTGCTTGCAGCCAAGACCCCGTGCTGCTGCAAGTGGCCCCATTCCAACGTAGCACACCTTCTATGAGCCGCGAAAGAGTCAAATTTAAAGGAAGAAGTGCCAACGTAGCAGGCCCTTTGTAGGAAGGCACCATTCCAACATAGTGAGCCACCCAAGAGTAAACTTCAGAGACCTTCAGAGGAACATGCACCACTCTATCCTAGCAGACCTTTGAATAAATTGGAAAGTAAACATGCAGATGGAGCCGCCCGAGGGCAGACTCCAGGCAGGGAAGGGGTCACTCCAAGGTAGCAGACCTTTTGATAGTATACCAGAGTAGTTTTCAATTATTCCAGGGTATATCCACACACCGGTCCACTGATGGCACCAAATATCCTATTCTTTGTGATCAACGATTGCAGTTGTCTGACTATAGTTGATAAAGTATCTTGGGGTGTGTCTTTGTTCCAACCCTGCGCCCCAGCATCCTTTGTTTCAGTCTCGCGGCATCTGAGGGTCTTTTCTTACGAGAGCCTCGAGGAACCAGTGGCCGAACCAAAGAAGGCCCGGCTATTTTCAGTCCCTGAATTGTTGAGTTGGTTGCCTTGAAGACTTAGGGATTGTGACATATCCAGAGAGCCAGATTGAGTCTGGCCATTGACGGGAACAAAAGTCTACATGGTGCAAAGTCGCATTGCATCCAAGAAGGGCAAAAAGAATGCCCAGCAACGTGTGAGTTGAAAAAGTGAAATGGTGGAGCAGGAGAGCCCGACTCCACAAAGTTCAATTGGATATGGTTTTCCCAAACAGTGGTTGAAATGGTGGAGCGTTTTCGATTCTCGATCACACTAAAGCCGAGAAAAACCGAGAGAACAGTCTGAGTAGGCTCTGAGCATGGCCTTCTCAAGCAAGGCATACTGGAACAAACCACTTGTTTCTGGTTGGGACTGGGATTCCAGGTAAGGCCTCGTTTCGACCGAAGCGTCCCAACGTTTTTCGCCCGATCCGCTGTGAGGAACCACTTCCAGAGACACTGCCGGGCGCTGCAGGCGCCTTGCCGGCCCGTCTACTGCGTCGCCACAGTGACGTGGAAGACACATGACTCACATGACATGGGTTTTTCGAATTCGCTTTGGATGGTCCTTTTTTTCTAGCAGCAAAGGAGCATGTGTTATATATACTATGTAGATGAATCATGTTAGCCAGTAGAAGACGGTTATCTTTATTTTACCCCAGTGAGAGTCTTCGTTGGCCTTCACTCAAACCTTGAACCATCTAAGAGACCAGGAGAAGGTCCCGAACCGTCAGGCCTCAAGCCCGGCTTTCTGCTGGACGCGACGAATTCCACCGAGGGCCCCGCTGGCCCCGCGCCGACCGGTCCGATGGCACCCAGTGAGGTGCGAAGAGTCGTGGGAGGCACACAGGTCGCACGACGAGCCAGGTTGGCAACATGGTGATGAGACTTTCTAGATGAAAAGAGAGAAGACTAGGCCCAGGCGAGTCGAATTTGATCGATTTCTATATGAAAGAATCGAAGACGTGTGATGTTTGCATAGCTTTGAGTCACATCTCCACGCTCCCATGTCCGGCAAACGCATGGGTGGCGGCGTGAGGAGCGGCCGAAGTTCACTTGGAAGAGGGATGGCCATGAGGAGGAGAGCAGGCGACTGGGATCCTCCGAGCACGATCACGATCCTCTGAGCAAGTTCGGTCACCCGTTTTGACCTGCGCATTCAGGCTTTCTTAATGGTTTCAGGTTTCAAGATATTGGTCTAGAGATGTCTAGAGTTGTTGGGTCGGTTGTTTTGGTGAGCATGATCGTTGGAAGTCTATACCCATGTACTGCCCTTAAAGCCTAGCAGATGGCAGATCCGCTGGAGCTGCATTGCAAACAAAGCATTGGCCCGCAAAGCTTTCAAACCAAAAGACATCACTGTACCCCGTGGGTCGAGGTGTACCCACGGGGTGTCCTGGTACACCATCCCGCCCCAGTGGGTCCACCGTCGGGTGTCCGGGAACGCCTCCCCAGCCGGCGCCCGGTTCCGGTTGCGACGGGCCGAGAGAACGGCCAGGTCCGAGGACGGTCCCAGGTCTGCAGGACGTGAAGATGGGGGGGTGGTCGGTGGAGTTCATCGGTCGCCTCTTGATGAACAAGACGCAGTTCAGACATGGATGGTGAAACCATGTGAAACCCATCGTATGAGGGGTTGAACAGTTCTCGTATGCGTCTTCATCAGTCGTGCACACCGAAATCGAGGGGCTCCAGCCAACAGGGGAGCAGTTGGCTGGAGAGACCGGAGATTCGTAGGCTGAAAAGAAAGGTGGAGTTCCATCCTGCTTCCATTTGCAGACGAAACACGACCCGGCCATTCAATCGTTTTGCTGTGCTGGTGGCTTTGTGGATATACTTCTATGTGCCTTCCAGTCTTTGGGTTTGATGGGGTTTCATTTTTGAGACCACACCCCCCGTGGCCGTTTGTTTTGGGTGGTTTTTGGGGGCACCACTTCTCACGGAAGTGTCCATTAAGGTCGGTGCTTTGAATTTGAACCTGTTTGGTGGCAGGATACGCTCCAAAGCAGATGATACCTGCGGAGGAGGAGGAGGAGGAGGAGGCCCACACGAGTGCGCCGAGCGTCACCGCAATAAGAGACACAGGACACCTCAATCTGTTCCACAAGTGCTGGCGCGACAATCCCAACACTTGAGCCGGGGCACAAATGGACTGTTTTTAGACCAAGCACCGATTTGACCAATGGGTTTTGAATTTTTGCTTCTTGTCACTGCCTGAATTAGGCTGAACTGCCCTTCCCCTGCTCGAGGATCCAGGGTTACCGGTTACCACACCGCGTGGACCATGTTGAGGCATTCAACACTGGGAGAGAGACTCTTGCGATCAGTTTTGGGCCTGAATTTGGGGGAACCTTGCTCGGCTGCCGTGTGTGCGGCTGCCAGGCCATCGTTTACTGCCCCAGGCAGCATCCACTCCGTCGGGGCCAGAGAGACGCTAAGGCCGCTAAGGGTTGTTTGCACACTTTGACAAGTCCTAAACTAATCCACACGCACATCAACCCAGGACTGCCTGACTATTATGCAATTTCTCGTGTCCATATTATATAGGTTACTTTTGGGGCTCCTGAGCTGAGTCTTTTGGTTGCCACCCCCACTCTCGCGGCCAAGGTTTGGAAGGTGCTCCATACGAGATGGATTGCGACCGCTGTTCCAAAGAGATGTTGGCAGGCGAGGAAGATGGACCGGGAAGGTTGAATGAATTCAAGCCATCCTTAATGTGTCAACCTATTATTTTGAGTCAAAGGATGTGCTGAATACATCAATTTCTGCCTTGAGTTTTGGACTACATCAACTTCTGCCCTGAGCTGGCATATTTTGGTGTGTGAAAAAGACATGGTCAATGATGCGTGGCGTAGTGACTCTAGTGAGACTAGTGTTGTTTGCACGCGCAAAGAAGTCTGGCGGGTCTGGGGGAGGGTCATGTTTCTTCTTCCTTCTTCTTCCTCTTCGTCTTCTTCTTCCTCCTCTTATTCCTCCTCTTCTTCATCTGATCAATCTCCATCACTTGGCATTTCAATTTCTCATTCTCCGAAGTCAGCCTCTGATCAACTCTTCTTCCTCCCCGGAGTGACCCTCCCTCCGCTCCGGCTTTCGTGTCGCCCTTGGCGCCTCGCCACTCTCAGGGCAGGAGGTCTGGTGGTGCGGACTCTGCGGTGCGGACCTTGGGATGAACGTCGTGAAACGGACGACGGTGACCTGCGGAGGGGAGGGGACGTCAACATGGTTTCGAAGACATGGCTTTTGCTTGAGAACGGGCGCCCAGAGGGTCTACCAGGCGCAGTGGCACATACTGGGGCGTCCCCCCCGAGCCCCAGGCTACAACCTTTGCAACGAGTGCCATGCTGAGCAGCAATAGCCGCGCTCGCTGCGCCGTGGTAGGCCACGGTCAGGAGCTGGAACTGTTTGTCGGCCAGCCCTGCATGAAAAAGAGGGAACGTGCCGAGCGCTGCCTACACCGGTGGTGGGGAGCCTCACCGAAAGACACCATCTGGTGAATGTGTTGAGGATGTCTGGAAAACAAAAGATATCACTTATTGTAGGAACACCTATCTAGAATCTAGAACTCTGCAAGTCTTGGGTTCCGCACTCTTCGCAGAACTGTCACACACCAGCTGGAACTGGTCCTCTTTCTTCCCCAAGCTCCGGCCACTCGCAGCAAACCTGGCTGCACTGTTCCGCGCACCGCCTGTGCCGCCGGCTTCCGCGCGCCTCGCAGGTACCGAGCGCCTGAGATCCTCCTGGGCTCCACGTCCTACATGAAGGCGGAGCGGCGCGGAGCGACGCGGGTCGACGTCGACCCGGTTCCCCGGGGGGTGATGGGTCGTCGGTGTTGCGACATGTCGTTCGGAGCGCTGGACTCAAAAAGGGGAGAGATCGAGATGGATATATAGCAATGATATATTTGGGTTGGGAAAGGCCCTAACTGGTTTCAAGTTTCAATTGGTGACCCATTGAAGGGTGCTGGTGTATATATATATACAACACATATATATATATATATCTTTAAATTCCTTTTTGCTTGGATGACCGAACCGGACTCTTCAATCTTCACAGAGTTTAGTAGTACAGTATTGTAGATGATACCCCGTTTCTGGAGCCTGGTGTCATTTACGCCAGGATCATTCGGGTGCGCTGGCCCTCTTTTGGTTAACCAGCGCCTCGTGCTTTGTCGCCATCTTTGGAATCCACCAGCTTCGGGTTGAGGTAAACTGATGGAGCCATCCTCAGGTGCTCCATGCTTTTGGTCAAAGCGAACATGTCGTGTCTTTCTCCAACCCACTGGATCCGTTGAAACTTTCCATCTTCCAGGATCTTCCGGGCCTTTAAGGGCCTGCCATGATCTCGTTTTCTTTCAAATCTTCGAACGGGCCGCGTCTTTTTCTTGTGCTTTCAGAACACCCCTTCGAAGCGGGACTCCCATGACCTCCAAAGCATCACCTCAGACCTCACGATCCGCATCGTGACCGAAGAACGATGGCCAGGGCGTCGACCTCTGGAGTGTGGGATGTATTCTTGGTGAGCTCCTTTCTGGAAAGCCCATTTTTCCAGGAGCGCAGGGAAGCGACGTCTTGGTAAACCGAACTGGTTCAGGGCGGGGGAAACTGGCGCCCAGACCTTTTTTCAGTAAAGGTTGTTCAGTGGTGTCTTCGCAGAGATCCATTGCGGGATCACATGGGATCACTCTTGAACGCCTACAAAGCTTGCAAAGGGCACGAGCAAAAACCTTGACGCCAAGACCTTTCGCTTGTCCACGGAAGAGTTCCAAAGTCCGGGAGATTTCTCAGAGGTTTCTGGATGTTCACGGATACTTTGGTCAGAGCGGCGACTACTATTTTGTCCCTTTTTGCTCTACTTTGGGGTCACCATCTCCCATCGTGCCACCCTTTCGCCTCCTCCTGCAGGAACCTCCACGATGAATCAGCTTGACCGCATCATGGAGGCATCCCCGGCACCGGACTTCCGCACCGCTCTCCGCGCCCGGGGCCGCAGCTCCGACGTGGCGCCAGGTGACTGGACGCCCCAGCTCCGAGGACGTCGACGCCATCAAGTCGCCCTTCGCGGTCCGGGGGCCTTTCGCTTCGGAAGGGGCGGCATCAAGAAGCAACGGAGAGAAGAGCCTCTCTATATATGTCCTAGAAGTCCAAAGACTATATTTAGACTTACTGAAGTAAAGGACATTCTTCTTCGTGTCACCTAAAGACTATTCTTTTTATAGTCTTTGACTCCCAGGGTATGTACTGTACTAGTACTGTTGTGAGGGTCAGGTCTTGTTTCCTGTTTGTTGCTGCTTCAGCACGGTCTCCACGTTGAACGGAGACGTTGGACTCCACCCCAAAAATGGACCAACGGGCCCGTCTCGCTCGACGGTGGAGTCTTTCCCTCCCAGGCGACGATGCTGGAGTCCTTGCCCATGAGCAGGCCGAGGCTGGCGGCGAAGACATCGACCCATCGAGCCGGGCGGCCACCGGCCTCGGTGGCGCGCTGGCGCAGAACGGCTCGGAAGGTCGGCAGCACACGTGCCAAGAGGAACCTTTTCAGGACTCTTCTCAGGCCCCCAAACACCTCGCTTGGTAGGGGTCCCGCCTGGGACATCTTGCACTACCTGTGTTTTTGGTGGATGTTCCTGCTTTTGTTGATAAGTACCAGCTGCTTCCAAGGGGTCAACCCTACACTGCTTACCCCGGTCAGATGCGACAGGACACCCAGACAGGAAGCGCTGACGCGTTCGGTAGAATCGAGCACCATTCTATGGTTGGGGCCGGGGTGGGCAACCCGCCAGGCCCTTGTTCACCTTGCCCATCTGTGCCCGTTTTTTCCCGCGAGGCCCTTGAGTGAGATGTTCCCCTCCGCTTCGGTGGAAGCACTGGATCTTCTCCGCCTTTGCCTGCAGCCTGCCACCTCAGTGGAAGTGGTGGACCGGAGGAGTCGCAGAACCATGCAGAACCCACGTTCCGCGACAATCCAGGTCTTGGATTGTGGATGGGATGAAGAACAAACACATCATTTCATTTCTATATGGCTTTCTCATGGCTCTAGGTTCCAAATACCTCCTGGCTCGACCCAGAAATCGCCTGCCTCCAAAAACGACCAGGAAGCGCTTCAAACGTGCTTCTGGTTTTGGCTATCCTCGCCCTGCCCGCGTCGTGCGCGAAGAGCGTCAGGTTCAACCCCAACAAGCGCATCACGGCAAAGGACGCCTTGCGGCACCCGTGCCCCGAGCGGGATTGAAAGTGACCCGAGTGATGGTGGTTGCCATCAGGATGGAAATAGATGCTGGGTGAGGGATTGGAAAGACACTTCCAGTGTTGTGAATTCGGTGATGTTCATCTGACAAGGTTGGTGGATACTTCGCTTTGACCCATGTTGAGATGTAACTGATTGTCCAAAACTGCGGCACCAAGACGCACCATCCGCGTCGAGGTATGTTGTGCAATTTCACAATCCCGATGACGAATTCGACTGCGACCGTGATGCCCTCAGCGACGAATTCGTCCGACACTGGCTCAGGATCAAGCCGGAAGCACGGCTCATGTTGACTTTAGGGTGATGGGAATGATGAACGCGAGCTACATCTCTTTGCGCTTCCAAGTGCAATCATTTTGTGCTCTCCGAGTCTATTTTGGTCGCGGCACCAGTCTAGATTGAATGACAGACACACCGGCCCAGTAACACGTCCATAGCTTGCCGTTTCATGTGAATTGCCCACATCTCCAGTGTAACTTGTATTGGCTGTTGGTACTGTGCAGTAGGATGTTCTTGGAGAGCTATAGTTGGATCAGATTTCAGCGACTGGCCCGCCAGTGGTGGTTCCTTTTGGCAGTGAACAGCACTTATATAATTCATGTTTCCCGGGGCGAAGCTTTGATCAAGCATCCATTTCTTTATGAGGCACGATTCGAATTCCCATCGACGACAACACAAAGCTTACTGTGCAGGACTGCCTTTGGCACCACTTGCTGTTGCTTGCAAAAGAAGCTAGAAGCGGTCTACAGATGTTCCGCCTCATGTGGGTTGACAGATGTTTTTCGCTGTTCCACCACAGATCGACATGATGTGATGTTGATTGATGAGGACGAGGATACTACATATTACACATTCTTAAAAGGGTTGGTCTACTGCAACTTTTGTTTGTTTGGAGGTGAACTGCAGGGTCGGCTGCTGGGAGAATGGGCATGAGAGAGCATGGAGGTTGCATGAAGGGCCCAGTCGATGCGATGCCAGGATTATCGGGACAGGCTGTACAATGAGGCAAGAGTTTTCACTTCTCCGGGATGAAGGGAACCTGGAACACACTTTCTTCGGACCAGAGCTGTTTCATGGTGCACACCTGCTTCACCCCGGTTTTGTTTGTGTACGGCCGGCGCAACATGTGGTGGAAGAGACCTACTTAGATGTGGCCAGAAAGTCGAGGTCCCACCCCCCGAAGCTTTACTGTAACGGATAGAGGAGCCACTCCGGGTCAGGAGTTGAGCATGTCCCCATAGTAAAAAGGGATGTCCAAGTGCGGCACTCGCTCTTTTTTTCTATTTGTTCAGCAGACATATGTAGTGAGTGAGGTCTATCTTTCCAGGGTGGATCTGGTGATGACATACTGTTGTGAACCACAGTAGTTTCATTACGCGAAACCCGTGCGGAAACGTGCATCGGTGACAGGTCCTTAAGAAGAAGAAGGAACAGCGCCGATCCCACCGAAGAAATCTGGAGATGCAGCAGCAGTCACAAACTGCCTCAGCCTTAATTCGGCTGCAATTTTCGACCCTCCCCATCAGCCCGAGCAGCTAGAGGTAGATGTGCACGCCACTGACTCTTTCTTTGATTGATTGGATTTCAGATGTCCAAACAGGTTTTCTCTTTTCCTATGCCAGTTTTCAGATGCCAGATCCACCATGGGGGTTTTCATGAACACACCAGGCATCCGGCATCTCTTCACATCCCATCCGTCCCTTCCTCCCGAGGCCGTGGTTTCACAGACCTACCAGCAGCCGGGTGCCGGGCACCCAAAACCTGCGACCCAGGCGGAATGTCTTCAAGGCGCAAGGAATAGCAGGCAGACAGATTTTAGGACGTAGAGATGCTGTACATCGCGAAACCGTGTTGTTGTTCTTGTTCTTGTCAATGTTGAGCTTTCTTGGTTTTTAACATATGGTTCAGTATGGTTGACATCGTTTTTTCTCTTGGGTTCATTTTTCCAAGGGGGACGGGGACAGTTTTGCGTTTCTCCAGCTCGCCGCTTGGGAAGCTGGTCGAGCGGCGAGCTGGTGATTCGCACTCCAGAAATCAAATGAAATCAAGGCAAAGAATCACCGAAAACATATTAAAACACCCTTATTAGAAAACAGGCTTTAAGGAACCTAATAGCGATGGCCTCCACCCTAATAGCAATGGGGGGATCCGGGACTCTTGGGTGGCCACCCACACGGTGACGCCATACGCCACGCCCCTCGCTGTGAGATGAGGGCGTCGGTCGATGAAAGACTTCCTTAAGACTGCGACAGACTGTGACCCAAGTTCTGAGGTTCCGCAGCAGTACCAGGCTCATTATGGGCAGGCAAGTGGGGCTGCCGCTTAGTCAATTTGTTTGGAGATTTCTGAATCAAGCATGGGAGTGCCCGTGTTGGGAGTGCTGCAATGAACCTCCTTTCGGACACATGGATCTAGATACTTCGAGTGAAGATGAAGATGATCCCAATGGTTTGCACCATCAATTGCCGTGGATGGCTGGCACAGGTCTCTTCTAGTGGTGCGTGTGAAGCCTGGTGAAACACTGGGATGGATGCACATGTTGCGGAGCGAGGGAGAAAGAGGATCAGAATTGCCACTCATGCAAAGAGAGTAGGCAAAGCCAAAAGGAATTTTAGGAAAAGGAGTTGGCGAAGGAGACGAAGGACTCAACATGACGAGGCAACTCCTGTTCACTTCAGTTCCAGTCTTCGCTTGCTTCAATTCATTGAATTCTATGCAACAACATCAACAACAAGACCTCAAAATTCATCTCTTCTCCATAAAAAGCCTGGACCTGCCGGCCAGCACTTAGGCCAATGGCTCACGCGGGCGCTGCTGGAGCAAGGAGCCTCAAAATTCCGTTAAAAGACGTCGTAGGTGCGGAGCGGCGAGCATCTGAAGCTCTGTAAGACCATGATCGACGACGCACATCGACCACTTCGGCACTTCTCTGTTCGGCATCCGGGCACCGCATCGCTGAGTCCCGTCGACTCGCACACGCCCCTTTTCGCCGTTGGCACGAGGGCACGACCTTGTGGGACCCCGTCGACTTCGGCCATGGCCCACTGAAGGAACACACCGGAAGCCGCATTGGGTTGGGGTGATGGACCGACTGCTACTGTTTTTTCTGTTTTTTTGCTTTGACTGCTAGATCCCGCATTTGCTTCAGCGGGCATCCACCGAAAAGAGATGGCCCGTCTAGAGTGGGAAGATGTTGGAAGGCAGAGTCCTGGTCTGAGCGTTGAATCCCAAGTTCTGAGGTTCCGCAGCAATACCAGGCTCATTATGGGCAGGCGAGTGGGGCTGCAGCTTGGTGGATCTTAACATGTTTGGGATTTGAACATTATTGAACCAATGGGCTGAACTAGAGTTGAGGGGTAGAGGTGGGACCTCTCCATGTCCACCTTGCGCACCTTGCGCACGAGCAATTCTTGGATCTTCTGTGCCTTTTTGGTACCAATGCAGTTAGTTGTCAGCTCCTGCTCTCAGACATTGAGTGGACTCTCGATACTTTGAGTGAACTGGTTCTCACCAGCAACCAACTCTGAAAACACCTCAACCCAAACGCCCGGAGATGAAGATGATGCCACTCGCACCAGTGGACCAGTCGACCTGTTTGGGGGCGTTTCACACAGGTCTCTGGTGGTGGTGCGTGTGGAACCTGGCGGAGCAGAGGAGTGGAAGATGCCAAAAACACAACAGTTTGCATGCAGCCATCAAGATCAGCAACACTGTAAGCGAGTCGAACAGTTTTTTCAAGCGAAGAGAGAGAAGAAGAAGGATTAAAACACCTGGTCCCTTCTCAAACACCTCAAAATCTAGACGGCTAGACCTGCCGTAGCACTTAGGCCAATGGCTCATGCGGGCGCTGCTGGAGCATGGACCTCAACTCACTGCGCTCCCAAACTCGCGATGCTGACTGCACGACACCTGCGGAACTGGCACGGGGTGAACGGGCGAAACGTGCCAAAGCAGGGATAGGCAGGATGCTAAACAACCGTACCTTGTTTCTTTAAGCGGTTTCTTTACGCGGATATACACTTGGGGACACCAATGGCTGAGGTTCACCGCACCTCCCACTCTGGGTGCGGTCCCCAGCAGCAGTTGAGGCCGTGTTTCGTTTGGGGCGAGTGGTTCCAAGGTAGCGAAGGCAGAACCAGACTGCACAAAGGATTCCAGAGAGTGGTTAGTAGCTAGAGCTATTCTGGTCTGGTAGAAAAGAATAAGTGGTGCAGGACATCTCCTAGGATGCGCATCAGTTTTGTTCACATGACTGGCCTTTCAATACATAGGACCTGATCGATTTTCGAGGGGTTCCCTAAAGTTGAGACAAGGGCACTTCAGTTGAACGTGCTTGCGTTTTTGACCCCCCTACATCCGTCAAAAAGGAACTGGCAGAAGGCAATGGACCCGCAAGTATCCTGACCAGTTTTTCTGGTTCTAAGTGGTAAACTAACATCGGACTGGTCAGCTCCCGATGTTTTCGCATCGGGAGTTGGGACACCCCCGGGTGGCTCACCAGGGCACGAGCTCATGCACCCTGATGGCCGAGCTCACGAGCTGAATGGCCGGGGAGCCTGTGGGGAGCTGCGATGCGGTGGTTGCGGTGGTTGCCCCTTGATGGTTAGCTGAAGGCAGCGCTGTGGCTGTGAAGCACGGAGTGAAATATAGCTCAGTGCTTTGGTTTTTGACTTGGCTAAGCTTCTACTCTAAGTTTTGTTTTTTTCTTTCTCTCTTTCTCTACACTTTCCATACGTTTGTTTGTTTGGTTGTCTGGTTCTCTGACTTGTTTCTTATTTCCTGCGCTTGTCTTTACTCATTGTGTTTACTGTTGTGTCTTATGCTCCTCTACTCTTGGTGTCTACTCAGGTAAACCCGTAGCTCTGTTCCCCTCTCCCACTCTTCTCCGTTTTACTTTGCTGATCTCAACGCAGTCTCTATTTTTGTTGGGCTTGAATGACACCTTGTTGCCTTTCTTCCCTCACCTCTTCTTTACTCTCTGTTTCTTGTGTGTTCACAATGTTCACAGCTACTTGTTGATTGCCTTCTTTGCGTTGCTTTGCTTTTCTTGACTTTGGTCTACTTTAGAGCTCGGGTTTTGGCATCCAGGCTTCTTGCCCAATGCCCGACTCTTCATGTACCGGAAAGGGCTTGCTTTTATGTTTCCTCTACCTCTATTCTTTTCTCTAGTCTTCGTCGATGCCTCGCAGTACAACTTGGGACGAACCGGTTGGGACGAACGGTGCTGCACCGGTGCCGCGCTGCGTCTGAATTTGTGCAAGTACACGCTGTGCACCCACTTCGTTTGATCAGGGGAGATGGCCCAGCTTTCTTCTGACTATTACAATCATCCTTGGTGGACAAGGGTTGCTTTGCTGAGTACTCTTCATGCTCCACCAGTGGACCCAGAGACTGGTTTATATGGTCCTTTGCCATGGCAGGACTTCAGATGGGATCGGACCACCAAGCAAGTCGGTCAAATCCAAACAATTCATGGATTCCGCTGCAGCGGCTCCACCCATCTCACTCATGCTCCACCCCTCTTGAAACATCTGAACACCTCCTGCTGTGATGGAATGCTCTCTCCAGTCCCTGGTGGGTGGGTGGATACAGCTTGACAGCTTGATAGCAGTGATGTGACTTTTTGCCAACTGATGTGACTTTTCCAACCCAACGCAGCGCTTGATAGCAGTTTTGGATGTCAAACTGATCCAGGCCTTTGCGTGGGGCTGAGCTGACGCCGCCGCTGAGTGGTTCAGAGCTGACGCCGAATTAGAGTTGTCAGCAGTCAGCTGCCTCGCTCCAACCATGGGGGTCGCGAAAAATCCCCTCCAATAATTTGGCGATTCGTGCAGGAGAAAACAGGAACGGGCGTCACACTTACGGTTCGGTGCGTGCTGGAAGGGGGAGGTGCCTGAGTGAGGAGAACCTGACAAGTGGTCGAACTTGCACTACCCAACTAGCCACTGCATAGAAAGGGGTATTCTGGTGCCGGTCCACTAGTGCCGGAGATGTGGAGATGTATGGGCTTAAAGACAGCTTCAATTCAATTCAATCGTTTTAAGTTGCTAGGTTTGGTTGGTTAGGTTCAATGAACATCAGTCCTTTTCAGTGGTAGATACCGTCCCAGTAGCCGATTATCAGCAATTTTCATTGGAGGGTTGAGTGGACCAACCACTGCAAAGGCTCTCTTGCCGAAGCTGGCTTGAGCTTGGCAATTTCCAAACACGACAGAGATACATGATGTGCAGAGTGCTGCAGAGTCTCAAAGCATGGCAACTAGACTGAGTATCTTTCTTTTGTCTTGCATTACTTGTACAATCCTTGGCAGATCTATGATCAACCTCAGCCACCACAAAAGATCCGCAAAGCAGTCACAGTGCTACCAGGTACGCTTCAATCCGTCAGCAAATCCATGTGCTAAGGACAAACTGTACATTCAGTTGAAAACCAAGGTGTGTTTGCTCCACCCCAGTCAATGAAGCTGCAGCAAACCAGTCCACAAGAACCCAGCTACAGCTGAACAACATCCATGCAGACTCACACTCACAGCTCTTCATCGGCACGTCATGGGGCACTTCCATCACCTTAGGGTGCTCTCCAGAAGGAAAACCCATAGATTGCCACCCATGTCCGTCCATCCCGCCGTGCTCCTCCCCGCCGACGCCGGCGACGTCCCCGAAGACCTCCGCTGCGCGCTGCGCGCCGCCGCGGCGGCGGCCGCGCCGGGCGCGGACGTGCTGGGCCTCCGCGCAGCGCGGCCGTCGGGCGGCGACGTCTGGGTGCACCGGGCGATGGTGGAGATCCGATGTCCCAGGCGGCGCAGTGGGGGAGGGGCGTTGTAGTGGAGGGGGGATGAGAGTGATGGTGAGGGAGAGAGGATGAGAGAGGTGCAGGGTGGATTTTGGTTGAGTTCGGAAAGTTGGAAAGAGATAGGTGGATGACCATAGAAAGTTTTCGTATTGTGAGGAAGGTGAGTTCGGATAGCATGTTATCGCTTCTTTTTGGTAAAGCACCTGGATGAGGACTTTTCTGCATGGTATTCCCGCAGGTGCCTCCAGTTACTTGTCTCATCGAGAAGACTCTGCAGTTGGCTCAAGCAGGCGCTACAGTTGTCGCTCCAATGCTTCGTAGTCTCATTGCCAGGAAGTTTCCAAAACTACGACCACGAGCCCCACAGACGAGCTTGTGTCGGAGATGGTTTGCCAATGGTGAAGGCATGGTTTCAATTCACCGCCTGGCCGTGTACATACATGAAGAAATCAACGGTACTTTCGAGGATATCTTCCCTCAACTTTCTGAACGAGTTGACACCCTGGAGTACCCAAACAACGGCTCGTCGACCTTGGTGACGATGGAGGATGCGATTGTGATCGTCGAAGACATCGGTGCCCATGCGGATCGCTTGAAGACCTTCCTGGCCGATGATGAGAGGGCGGACAAAGCCATTGGCCCTTTCGAAGATGATTCAGAGGGACCTGGCTTTTCTCGTCCCCGCCATCCATGTCACACAGGCCGTGGTTTCGAACTTGGTGGCAATGCTCCGATACCTGTGGAAAGAGATGGGTGGAATGAAGACCTGTCAACGGAGGAGCTCAGGGCTAGATCAGCCAGAGAAGCAGACGGGATATGGTTCAAACCGAGCTTGGGGATGGGCTTTGAGGTGCACTCACGAAATGGCACCTACATACTGAAGCGTCGAAAGATGGACAGATTTCCAACCGATCCGGTTTTCAATGTTTGGTACCAGACACACATGAGTCCAGGATGGATGCCATGTGCAGGACAATGTGCAAATGGTACACCGCCGCGTTGGTGGAAGGTGAGCGACGAAGAGCCTCGCTTCCTCAATGAAGAGCTGAAGCGGAAGCATTGCGTTGGTTTCTGTGCCATGGCTCGCAGGGCAGAGACGAAGGCGAAGAAGGTATGACATTTACACCTCCACACTGCCCAGAATTCATATTGAGCCCCTTTAGTCACACGAGCAATGGGCTCTATCCACCGAAAGCGTGCGTGTTTCTTGGGACCAGCATCGATGCTTTTTATGCTTTTTATGTTGGTGAAACTGACACGGAAACTTAAACTCAAGTTGTTTGAGATAATACAGTACATGTAGAGAAACACAGCCATGCATATATATATATATATATTTGTACACATTTTGTTGACGGTCATGAACCAGTCAATGCTTATGTTTGTGTACATGACTGTCCGCTGGTGGCCCAAAGCCCATTAATCTCATCCCGTGAGACCCCTACTGGGTCAGTCGCCCAAACAGAGACCGCACCACTGCTGGGCTTGCAAAAAGGCAGCACTTGGGCAATCCAACGTTTTCTTGCTATGTCTTCAAGGTGCAGTTCAAACTGGTTAGCTGTTATCCATTACGGTGACTGATGAAATATATATCTTTCATCATTTTTCTCAATGGACCCATGCTTCCCAAACCATGACATTCGCACTTGCTTGGCCTTTTTTGTTCACTCAGTGCCGATCTCCTGCGAATTCTTCAAGTCGAAAGGGCTCCAAGTCTTTAGTTGTCGATGATCAGCCATTTCATCTGGATGCACCTGGCAGGTTGCTTGAAGATGAGGGGAAGAAACGCCAGAGGTGCGAGAACGACGAGGCGGCGTGGATGAGACGGTTTGACAAGTGTGCGCCAAGCTAAGCTTCAGTAGGCACTGGGAGGAGTCGGATTTTTGGGAGACTGACCCGGTGGAATGTTGACACCGTTTCTTCAGGTCTCAAAGACCAAGTTCAACAGGTCTCAACGAGTTTCTTCTTACTACCCAAACCCTTCAACTGTTCCTCGTGCCCACAGGTCTATACGGGTCTCAGGATTCTCCGCCCCAAATCTTGATCATTGATTCTTGACCTGCTCTTCCTTTCTCAGTTTTCCCTCCCAAATCTTTATTTATCACCTCTCATCCTACTTGCACCTTCACCTCTCGACCGACCCAACTGACCCTCTTCACTCCGTCGTAGGCCACGCAGATGCTTTCGCTGGACGTGTCCCTGGACGCCTTGCGGCACTTCGTGGAGTACCTCTACACCGACCGCCTCGACGGCGATTTGGCCGTGCCCCTGACGGCCGAGCTCATGCGGCTGGCGCGCGAGCGATGGCGGGAGGCGTGGGGGGAAGGAGGTGCCGTGGCGAGGGGTGGGGGGGAAGGGGGGGAAGAGATGCCAAGATGCTGGGGAAGGGGTCCATGAACTTGCCAGTGTAAGAGCAAGATAGTTTATTCATACATCCATTGATTGATCATGATTGATCTATACCATGAACTCCTGAACTCCAGCTTCTTTTCATTGACTTGGGCAACAGGCACCGCAGCCAGTGCTACTGGGGGGTTAATGACCAGCCCTCTCTTGAGTTCGAGACTTGCTGCCTTTCCGGTCGCCTTCGTCGTCCCCAGGAGGGCGACTTCTTCTCGCCCGGCCAGCGGCGCCGTTCTCCGGCGCCGGAGGGGTCTCCGGAGCCGAGCGGCTCCGGAGACCCGCCCGGGCCGCGCTGCGCCATGCAGCGGCTCTACACCCTGTGCGAAGCGACGCTTGCTGCGGTTGGATGGCAGGGGAGGGTTGGATGGAAGACGCGTGCCGACGTGATAATTAGGGCCTATAATTAGGGACGTGGCTCCTGAGGATGGTGATGACCTGTGAAGTTTAGAGTGGAAAGGAGGTGTACAAGCTTCATCAAGCTTCTAGTGGGGTGTGTGTGGCTTCAGCGCCTTTGAGAGAGTCTGGAACTGTGAGGATTAGGCAGAAACTGTATGAAACTGTGGTGACATACAAGATGGCAAAGTAAATCCACTCCACCAAGTGGATTCCTGCTTTAAGGGGCCAGGAGAGTTCCTAGGCAGCAGAATTCATTGACTTTGCAATATGTTGCACGGAAACCCTTTTCTCCACTGCGCAAGCAAATGCAATGTGAAGGATCCAGCTGTCCATGGTCAGCCGGTCAGCTACACAGACAGTCTTAGACACCTACAGAGCTGTCCACAACAATTTTCCAAGCTAGATAGGAATTTGTTGGGTCTGTCAGTCTGTCCTATTACCTGTAACAGTATTTTGAACAATGCCTTAACTAAAGCGAAAAATCCACTGTTACTGGTAATAGGATAGACCCAAGGAATTTGGAACATATTGGAATTGTTTGATTGAAGGACTGTAGCTTCTAACTCTTTCCTGACCTCCTCAACCATCTGAGGCACCTCTTCTTTCGCTTAAGCATGGAAACTGCCGTGGAGATCTTACTGGTGTCAATCCAGGGTAAATCGAAGCCTGGATGCCTTGGTTTTGCTGTGCTTAAAAGCAAATCAGAATCAGTTGATTCAGTTGATTCATAAATCAGATGTGTGTCGCTGAGATGTCCCCTTTGAACCTGTCGATGGAACATGATGGAACCTGGCCCATCCAGTTGAAGCTGACATTGACATTCTAGACCTGCGCAGTTGGCCTCCAGGAAATCCCTTGAACAGAATGTCTACAAGTGGTTCGCGCGTGAGAAGCCCGCCTTGGACATCTCCTTCAACCGCCACCTGATGACCGCCCTCAAGGACCATCCCGAGGAGCTGGCGAAGGCCATTGCCGCGGCGGCAGGCGAGGCAGAGGATGGGCACGGAACAGGGTCGTGTTGGTGATGGCAAGGCGCACAGTGCACGCAGTGCACACACGTGTTGGCGTGGTGGTTTTGGTGATTGGGACAAAGGGCAGGAAGAACATGTTTTCAATCACACGGACAATTTCTTTCCTGGCCATCCATTTGCCCCCAAAATGACAAGGAACCTTCCCATTATTGGCACTCCTGGTTGTTTTGGTTGGATGCTTCCATTGAAGTGGTCGATTTCGGCATTCTTCGCACCTACCCGTCGCCAGGGAACGACCACCTCAGCAGCGAAGCGTCGAGGGCGGAGGATGTTGTGAAGGCACCGCGCGGTGCGTGTTTTGTGCGTGTTTTGTGCTGAGATGCGCGCGTTTGTCACACTGTAGAAAGTGGTGAATTCTTCAAGACTTTGTCAGAGAGCAAGAACTGTACTGGTTTCTCTATGAAAGGAGCAGGGGTTCACCACTGGCTCATTGAACATCCTGTCGAACAACACCAAAACATACCAGCACATCCCATCCCCATCCCCATTCCATTCCACCCTTCCCATTCCACCCTCCAGTCTGGTAGAGTACTCCCTCCCCTCCCTCCTCCCCCCGCAGGCCTTGCCTCCTCCGCGTCTGAAGTTCGATCTCCTGGAGCTCCTGGCGTCGCCGGGCGACTGTCGCCTCGTGGCCGAGCAGCTCGACGTCTCGGCGCATCGCTTCATGTTGGCCGCGCGGTCCAGGCGGAACCGGTTTTGTGGAAGCGGACGGGGGGATCCAGTCAAAAGTGTCATAGAGTCATATGTTTATGAACAGCATGGCTCAGATGAGCACAATTAAGTGAATTGGTGGAATATTGGCCCATGAACAAGACGACTACTACACATCTGTTGTGAATGCGGTCGTTTGAGCTGTCACACTGTGCGAAGAGGTACTTTGCGTCCATGCTGGCGAGCCCCATGCGTGAAGCGCGGACGGGTGAACTGCCAGTGCAAACGGTGCCCACGCCCAGCAAGAAGAGTATCCAGGCCAGCCACGAGCTCCGTGGTGTTCCGGTTGTGGCCCGGGTGTACCTAAGACGGAATCGATTGAACTAGGCCCTAGGAGAGAGCTGGAATCCAAAACCCAATCACTCCCTTCAACCTCTTCCTTGACTTCAAGACGGCTTTCTTCAAATCCTGTTTTGGGCACAATTGTTCCTTCCCACCACCTAAATATGTGAACCAAAAAACATCAATATACGCACTACAAAGGCACAAGCACACCACATCGTTTTTTCCCCAAAAGTCTGGCCGACTGATTGCCTTCTGTGTCTCCTTTTGTGTCTTTCACCCATCGACGAGGCCCTCTTAGAGTTCCTCTACACCGGGAGCCTGACGGCATCCATCGAGTCGCTCCGCCCCGCGGACTTCATGGATTTGCTCATGGTGCTAGATGAGGGTGGTGGCGACTGAGATGCGAAGATGGATGCGAAGGGTGCTGGAACGGGGGGGGGGCGGACCTTCAATGAAGCAAGTTGCAGCATGCGCAAGTTGGACAATAAGACGGGGTGAATTGAGCGAGTCTTTTGCTGTGCTGAACTCTGTCTGCGCTGTGCGGAACTCAATTCTCTGTCGGTGTTGGTGAGAGGTCGAATGAGTGAGTTTGAGATGGTAGGTTGTGACGGTTATGACCAACGACTTTTGTTTTGCTTGGACTGCATAAGCTATCCCACTGATCTTCTACATGACGGGAAATAAGTAAAATACAGGTGCCTGCATTGGAAGCACCTATAGGAGATTTCCAAAACTGCCACAGAAGCCGGGTCAATTTGGCTTCCGATTGAACTATGGGGGTCAGTGAGTAGCCCGTGTCTCCGCTGTTCGAAGTCTCAACAGTGCCTGCATGGACCTGAAAGAGGATGGCAGGGGGTGGGCCGTACTGCTATGTACTGCCATGCAGGGCCATGTGTTCTTCCATGTTCTCATCTTCCCCTTCGAGACGAGCTCACGCCGTGTTTGATTCTAGAGATGGGCTCTCCTAAGCCACCGAACGCCGAGGTGAAAACTATTTGCAATTGGCGCCCGAGACTTACACTTCCCTTCGTCGCAAGGTGGAAGGCCTGGTGGTGGCCAAGGTGGATTCGAAGAATATGTGGATGATCCTGCGAAGAGCCAAACTGCTGAAGAACCCGGACATCTCCGCCCATGCGCTGAAAAAGGTTCCTTGTTTTTTTGGGGATGGGATTGTGTGAACATGGACCTACAGAGCAGATGTGTCGTGTTGCAACAAGGTGCTTCCTATAAAGGTATAGAGATGTCGTGTGGTTCATTCGTTGGCCCCAAAAAACATCTGCTCTGGGGCGCCAACGAGTTCTTTCACTTTTGGGCGGCTGGGCGCGTCCGTCTGGTCCGTTCGGACGGGAAGCTCCCGGTGGCGTCACCTCGGTCAGAGGGGGACTCAGAGCTAGGCCTAGGTCTCTGTGACATATTGGAACGTGGAGGAACACCTCCGGTCTTCACCAAGAAATGGAACTAATAAGGCAAACTGCTTGAACAATGATTGAAGGGATCATCTCAGAGTGATGAGGGAATACTGGATCCTAATATGTACGGAGATCCCACTGGGATCTTACTATGCACATCTATGCAGTATGCAGCATTTGTTTAAATGAGGTCTCAATGGAGCACAATCTCTAATCGGTTGTACATCCAAAGAAATCTTTGTAACAATCTTTTGGGATCTTTTGGGTCTGACCTGTAGAGCCCTCGGTAAACAAGAACATCACTACTTTAGAGATGGATGTCGGCCTGCAACCAGGCCCCGTCATCATCCACCGGGCCCTGGGAGGTTGTTATACATATACCCAAATGGATCTTCCCTTCCAACGACGGCGGAAAACGTCCACCCAGGTGGTGAAGAAAACCGACTTTGAGGATGCAGAGAGCTTTCAGCAGTGGTGCCAAGGGCGAGATCAAGGTCTTGTTTGGTCCGAGCAGCTGGAAGTGCAACTACTTCAAGATGTCCTGAAACAGAAGTGTAAGCAGCAGCAGAAACTCAAGCAGAAGCTTCAGAAGATGCTTGGTTTTTCCGGGGTTTCGATACTGAACTGAACCTTTGAAGCACTAACTACACCTGTTTTCGGTTCGCCTTGATGTTCGTCGCATGAGGCCCAGCGAGCGAAACCTTTCGGCCAGACCAGCAATGACAGTTTGCACCCTGATTTTACAGATGGGAAGACTCAAACCCGACGTCTCGCGACGACCGGACCCTCATCAAGTGGGGGCACCGAAGCACCTCGCGACTGACCTGACCGACCGCCGACGGCACCGGCCGACGGCACACCGACGGCACCGAGGAGGGTGGAGGCTTGGACCCTGCAGGTGGAGAAGCCCTTCCCGGAATCTTCGGGGGTCTACAACTGCCGAGGGCGACGGTACCTCCTGAGATCCGACACCGCGGCCGGGGCGTTGGCGGGCGAGGGGGGGGAGATGGGAGCGGAGCTTGAGGGCTATATATTTATGCATTGGACACCTTATAAGAAGAGGACAGGTTGTTGGATGAACAGTTACAGAATCCATCAAATAAAAGGAGCCCCCCACGCGGCCCGCACGCGCGCGGTCGCGCGGTGCAGGTGGGTTCGGCGTGTGCGAACGAGATCGGCTCCATTTCGGCCATCTTCGAGGAGGAAGTGCGCGCCACTCGGGGGCACGAGCCGTTCAGGGTCGGCTTTGCGCACCTGATAGATGTGATCTATCCTTAGGAGCAGTGGTTTCCTTTATGTTTGGGTTGGGCGATTGTTTTTTTGGTTGAGACCATGATACTCTCAATCATAATTCGACATCATTCAACATTCCTTGCCAGATACTCTCAATCATAATTCGACATCATTCAACAATCCTTGCCATGGGGCTCCCTACACAAAGAGCCCGTGGAGGACGCTCCCGGCCCTTTCAAAGCTTTAGCTGCTAGCACTTAGTCTGAACAATTTCCCCAGGCAACAGAGCTGATGACTTGGGAAACTTACAGAATAGAATGACCATACTTTGGTCAACCCTGCCAGCCATGCTCACCCGAACCGCCGCCGTGTCTCGCCCTCTCGCGCCCAGGTGCGAACAACACGGCGCGGGTGTGGTGGGCTTTGTTGGGACCTTCGCAACACGAATCCTCACGTAGCTCACAAATCCCTTAGGGGTTGTGGTAGGGGTCGACGCTGGAAGGTCCCTGCAAGTAGGATGAAGTCGGGTCTATGAGAGTCCCACATTCTGTCAGATAGCAGCACTCTCATGGTGAATCATGACATAAGTGCTCTACCGAACACCCAGCTTCAGCCATGGTTTCCTCCTGCTGGTCTCAACCGAGTTCCTTATCAGGTGAAATCCATCCCTTCAGACGAAGACCCCCGGGCAAACCCAAACCGAAGCACACCAAAGCCTCGTCTCGACCGAGCTCCTTATCAGGTGAAATCCATCTTGCTGGCCCCGCTGGACCGCTTCGGCCCCGACGCGTTGCGCCGCGCGGCGCTGCAAGTGCGCGGCTCGTCGGGCACCTGGCACGACCTGGGGCCACTGTCCGGACAACGGCAGCGGGTGCAGGTGGGAGAGAGCGAGCGCCGGAGAGCAGAGTGAGAGGGGGTGACGTGCTTTCTTCATCGTTTGGAGGGATCAGAGTCCTATATAGACTAGTGTGACTAGTGACTAGAGATCTATAGAGATCTACAGTATAGAGTACGTATCCGTATATGCCACTTTTTAAATGGTGATCTTTGTCCTTTATAACCTTTGTCCTTTTTAACCCCGATTTTATTGAGCACAAGGTGGGTATGGGCTATGGGATCACCTTTTTTGTGGCTGGGCGGATCCATGCATGGACGGTTCTTGTTGATGCCCTTGATGACAACATGGTACCACCCATATTCCTATCCTCGCCCCAAACGTCCAAAAACCACACCCTGCAACGCTCTCCCTCTCCCTTCCTTGGTCCTCCGTCCTTTTTGGGGAGGTGAACCGCAGTGGGAAGCACTGGCGTCTCCATGGTTTCAACATCGCCGTCTCCATCTTCCGCTTTCGACTGAAGTCCCACGACAGTGCAGCAGCGCCCGACGCGCCGCACCGCGACGCCGCTCGGCGCGGGCGCGGCGCCGCGCGGGAGCTGCGGCGGCGGCGAGGTGCGCCGGCGCGGAGCGTGGAGGTGTGAGTTGCTTTGGCCGAAAAAGCGGCGAAGCCGCTGCTTTGGCCGCAAAGTCAACACGGCTTTGGACAACAAAAGGAACAGGCCACCCGCAACTTGAAATGGAAGTGGGAGCGGAGTGCGGTAGAGCCGCGACGTGGCTGGAGGATCAGACTGTTCGACATCAAGATGCGGCGTGTGTTTCTTCGCCTCGGTGATCTCGGTGTGAAGTCCGTTGGAGTCTCTAAAGCGAAAGACCATCTTGTTTATATAGGCAGACAGTGTGCCTTTCATATGGCCCCCTGAGCTTCTAGTTTGGCTGTTCATATCACTATTATCACTCTCGGTGAAGGCAAAAGGGCTCTATGGACACCGGAAGGTTTGGGGCTTCAGTAGATATCATCCTGTGATCCACACCTTGGATGACTCGCTGTAGAGCGTATTTGTGGCCCATTGCTACACCGCAATCGAAGCTGGTTTGGAACATGAGGGAAGGCCGGGAAGGCCTGCAGACCACTCCGAGTCGGTCTGGCCACATGTTGCAGCCGCCGGCGGTCTTGCCAAGACGCGTCGCTGGGTGCCGTGACACGGAAGGGTGCGACACCCAGGAGCAAACCTTTGAGCCAGAGGCAAATGCAGTTCAACATGATGGCCCTTGGAGTAGGCTACAAAACACCCTTTAACAATAATACAATATGCATATATATATATATAGAGATCGTATAAGTGAACCGGCATCAAAGATTCTCCAATGGGACTTCACGGAACAATATGACCGCAACTAGGCTATCCAAGCTGTCCATGTGTAGGTGCTGAAAGTTTCATCAACATTAGCGATGGAATGGCCAATGACCTCCTTCTCTGTAAGGTGCTTGCAAGTCGCCATCATGTGTAATTAGAGTGCAAAATGTGTAAAGCGTCTTAAAGATCAACTCGTCATTGTAAATCGAACGCGGCTTTTTCTGGGTCTGACGCCAGCATGCTTTTGTTGCGTGGCAGTCCTGAAGCCAGTTGGATTTGGACATCACCATCCAGCGTGTAAGACTGGTGAAAGATTGTTCACCCTTTTTCACTGAAACCACACTTGGCATACATCATCCTCAAACCATGCCAAGTAATCCCAGCATCCATCCGACTGCAACCCCTCCGGCTCTAAGACCCTGCCGTTTCGACTCTGATGGCCCAACGCTCCCGACGTTCCTCGATCGGAGGGCCTCCTTGGATGGACGTTTTGGCGGCTGAAACGTGGGAGGCTCCCGCGGTCCCGCCGATCTGAGACGTTGATGACCGGATTGCCGTGAAAAAGATCCGTCTACATGCATATATAGAAAACAATTTCAACAATCTGTACTATCTTGTGGATATATAAATAAGACGTCTATTTCCTGAAATAGACAACCAGCTAAACTTTCAGACACTGTTGCTGGTACTGTATCATTGATATTGCGCCACACTGGGCCGTGCAAGGGCAGTCCCACTTTAGGCCGGGTCGTCTTTTTTGGTTCAGACAGCGTTTTCTGCCTGGTGCGTGCCGCCATAGAGTTCCTCTACCACGGTGCAAGATCTTCTCATGGCACCGCCTCGTCAAAGTCCGATTGCTGGGCAGCCGACTGAGGTGACTTGTTTTTTCTGCTTGGTGGGGCAACGGTTTGAAGCATTGTGGATTTTGTGTAATGGAATTGGGCTGTTTGGTTTGCCCAGGATTGATGCATCCCATTGTTGTTCATTTATACACGGAAGTCTTGCTTTGATTTCAAAACGGTTTTGCTTTTGCCGCTGTGTCCGCCCGGTTGCCGCCCACTTTTTCTGCGCCCCCGCTTTGTAGTGGAAAATCCGTCTCCGAGGACGAAAGGGAACGATTGAGGCGGCAACGGGATGAACTGTTCAACCGCTACGGGCGCCGCTGGATCGCTGCGGAAGGGCGTCTTTCGTGGACCGTGTTGGAGCGGCCCCGAAGTGCCGAAGCCGTGGAGCCGTGGATCGGTGCCATCGCCGGGCTCTCGGAGGCGGTGCTGAGAGCGGACCTGGAAAAGGCGGACGACGTGCTGAATTTGCATTCCAAGTACAATTCCAAGTATTATCAAGCCTTGCTGGAGACTTTGAAAGGAGAGCTTCTTCCGCAGCGTTTGACCGCCCTGGCATCCTTGAGGCAAACGGGAATCCCGGAGGCCGCGGAAGTCCTTTGCCTGTTGCTCTGGGAACTTTGGGCTCCCATCGCAGATGGCAAGTCCAAGCTCTGTGACCAAGAGACAATACAGTTGCAGCGATTGCTGGATTTGATGCAGAAGGCCATCGCAGACTGGGATCGAGTGAAGAATTCGGGGCAGATCGAGTGGTGTGGCCACTTTTGCTCACCCATTTGGTCCCTCCGGCAGAGTCGTGGCGACGGTCCTCTGGGTCGTGTGGACTACGACGTGGCCTTGAAAGATTTGAGAGATCTCCAAGAAAAATTGAAGGGCATTACTTCAAGGCAGCTTTCAGTAGGTTTGATGGAGTTGAGGGATGTGACGATGAGTTTGAAGGAAGAAGTGAAGGAGTTGCAACAGGGTAAGTTGCAGATGAAGGAGGAGTTGGAGAAACTTACTTCGGAGCACGACACTTCGACATGCCGGATGACGGAGATGGACGACAAATTGAAGAAGATGGAGCATGAATCTTCAGCCGAGAAGGAACTTCTCAACATGAAGAAAGATCTGCGTGAGGTGTGCATGAAGTATGGCTGCTTGACCTTTAACGGCAACTTGAAGAGGAAGAGAGGCTTGGGTGAGGAAAAGCGGCATCAAAACGAAGAGGCCAGTATTTTGTCCAGTGCAAGCTCAGGATTTTCTGTGGACACAGGTGGCCCCTGCTGCTTTATGGTCGATGCCGTCTTCGAGACACCCACTGGCTCCTTCTTGAGTGGTCTGCAGTTGTGCCTAAGCTGGAAATGCATTAGAAGCAATGCAAGATCCTGATGCACCACTAGTACTGAAATTATAATCATAATATCAAGTCCCAGCACTTAGGAAGAAATGCAAACGTTGATCCTTGCACGTTTTGAAGGCGACTTGGGTGATCCGTTGAAGAAAGTAACACCAAACTATTGAAGCCGACTTAGTCGGCGTAGCATGAAGCATGAGCCTCACTGCCTAAGGTCGAAAGGCACTGAGATCCTCGCGGCCGACAGGTCCACCGTTTTGAAGGTCGCTTCACCTCCGGAGCTGCACGCTGCCTCGCGGACCGTGATCCTCAAAACACAGGAAGCTAAGCTTCAAGTGACAACGGACCACCGTGTCGTGTTGCCCCCCGGTGACCTCCGAGGTGGCCTCGCACCTCTTCTGCAATCGTTTGTAGAGTGTAGAGTTTGTAGAGGGATTAGAGGGTTGGTACAACTAACCAGGTGGATGTGGCTCAGAATATGAAACTCAATCTGTAATCCGCCGTAATCCGCTGCCTTTAATCTGTTTATCGCTTCACATTTTGGTTGGTACCCCTGTACCGCTTTTCTTTTCTAGCCATGGCCACGTTAACATGACCTATTTTCAGACGACAAAGGAGGGCCTCTTGATTTCTCTGCAGGTATCCGCGTCGCAGCTGAAAGTGGGAGATGAGGTTGTGGCTGACGGCATCCCCACGAAGCTGACCTCAGTGGACTTCGTCCCAGGTGAAGTGCCAGTGTTGAAGATCACCTTCCAGCCGGACAAGCCAGTGGCGGTGTTTGATCCGCAGCCGTGCATCCATAGCCATGGGCACAAGCCCAAGAAGATTCATCGTGGTGGAATTCATTCTCGCAGGGTCCAAGAAGGAGCAGATGCTGTCAGTATCCCTGACACACAGGGCGATTATTCGGATTGAAACTTGGCATTTTCTTCAAACGTCGGTTCAGGTGTATTTATGCGCAGAAGTCGTTGCTGCATAGTTGCTTGTGTTGAGCCATCGAGTAAAGACTTGCCATCTGGTAGAAACAGTGGGTCATTCGTTTCAGCAAACTGTGGGGTTGTGCGCCCGTCGGCTTTGCAAAGGAGCAGAAGACTGCTTGGACGATTATGAACAATTAATTGGAGCGTGAGTTGACGACGCTGAGTGCACTTCTTACCCTTCAATTTGCTTCAATTGGGAGCATTAGGATGACAAGGACCCCATGACGCATTGAAGGCTTCTATGGATGGATCCTGCCTATGTTTCTTTGTCTGTCCTTTGGTTTAATGTTTTTTTGTTGCATGTTTTGCATCTTGGAGGGTGAGGAGTTCACAGCCAAAGAGCCATGTCCGTTGCTTTTGTCGTAGGCGTTCAGCTTTGATAGCCGGTGTTCTTAGCATGCACCTTAACATCAGCATGTCTTAGACATACAGGGGAGAAGTGTTGAACTGGTACTATGGTCTTCAGGCTTGGAAGGATTAAATTGACCTGAAGTATCGAACATATTAAACAGATTTCACTGATTTTGGGTTCTGAGCTGGAGTTCGGGTTGTTGTGCTACCATCGGCGAATAGCTCCGTTTGCAAAGGGAACTTCGTATCCTCCTGAGCCTCGAGTCAGCGTGAACAAGAGAAATCGCTGGAGTTGTTCTGCAATGGTTTTTCGTCGCCCATTGAGAGGTTAAGTGACTTGTAGCTCAGGCGGTGCGAAGTGGCACAGGCTCTGCCAAAGGGCGATGTCCAGTGCTTTGTCGTTCGCGTTCAGCTTTGATAGCCGGTGCTCTTTGCATGCACCTTAACATCAGCGTGTCTTAGACATACAGGGGAGAAGTGTTGAACCGGAGAGCAATATAGAATCTGTTTATTTGACTGAATTGTACGGGTTTTGGAAGGGTTAACCGGTTAAACGGACCTGAAATACCGAATGCCTTGAACAGCTTGGCAATGCTTTTGGGTTCTGAGTTGAAGCAGCTGGAGTTCGGGTTGTTGTGCTGCCATCGGCGATAGCTCCTTTTGCAACAAAGGGCACTTCCTATATCTCCCTGAGCCTTTGCGTCAGAGTGCTCTAGAGGAGTCACTGGAATTGTTTCACAACTTTTGTTGGACAAACAAGTTGAGAGGTCAGTTGACCTGCAGCTCAGGTGGTGCGAAGTGGCCCTGTAAGAGAGTGCCAGAAACAGTTGCGCACGAGAATTTTGACATGATGCACACACACACACCACATCCCTCCGGAAGAGGACTATGCCAGCAGCCTTGGAGTCGGCTTGACCTTTAGCGAAATCCTTTTTTGAACTTAAGGCCTTTGTTTTCCTCTGTACAACTTGATCCTTCTCATGTTCTCTTTATGATCTGTTGGGGCTCCGTGGCCATAGTCCAGCCATATCAAGCCTTCTGGGTAGCCCTCCTGCACTTCTTTACTTGGACGAAACAGGGAGGATGGGTGACTTCTGAGTGTAGTAGCGACCGATGCCAAGCTTGTCTGAGAGATTGAAATGGGAGGTAGGTTCGCAACTCCAAATGCAGATGAAGCGCGCTGTGTCTACGCTGTTTGCTGCTCATGAAGGCTTCCAGTCCATGGATTCCACCGATGTTTCTTTGTTTCCCAGCTTACGTTCAATGTTGCATTTGTTGGCATCTATGTAGTTTAAGATTAGACGTCTATTCAGACAACGCATCTGGTGAACTTGGGGGGTGAGGAGTTCACGCTTGGCACGGGCACTGCCAAAGAGCCATGCCCGGTGCTTTGTCGTTTGCGTTCAGGTATGATAGCTGGTGCTCTTAGCATGCACCTTAACAACAGCATGTCTTAGACATCTAGGGAGTGTGTTGAACTGGATAGGTCTATGAAACCTGTTATATACTATGGTCTTCAGGCTTTAGAAGGATTAAATCGACCTGAAGTATCGCACATATTGAACAGGTTGGCAATGCTTTTGGGTTCTGAGTTGAAGCAGCTGGAGTTCGGGTTGTTGTGCTACCATCGGCGAATAGCTCCGTTTGCGAATTTCGTTCCACCTGAGCCTTGAGTCAGCGTCCAAAAGAAGAACCCTTGCCCTTGACTTTCTGTCGGACGATAGCAGATTGTTGACACCCATTGAGAGGCCAAGTGACCTGCAGCTCAGGTGGTGGGAAATGACCGCGTAAGAGTGTGCCAGAAACGGTTGCACACAGTAGTTTTGACATGATCTGCGTATTTTGAGCGGACACTGCATCACCTCAAGAAGAGGGCTATACCACGAGCCTTGGAGCCGGCTTGATCTTCAGCGAAATACTTCATTCTAACTGAAGGAGTTTGTTGTTCTTTGTTGTACTTTGTAGCTTAGTCTTTCTCATGTTTTCTCACCTTGGTACTCCGGGGTCGTCAAGCCTTCTGTGCCGCTTCGCCGTCCAGCACGCCTTCGCCTGGACGAAGAAAGGAGAGGAAGCTGGATTCCGACATGACAAAATTGGTCTTAGTGTTCTATAGACTCAGTGTTCCAGATACGTTCACTCATCTGCATATGAACTGGAGCCTTCCAAACCCTGAGGATCTATATACAGTAGGCTAGCTTATGCCATATACAAAAGGCTCAACATGGCTCAACTATCGAAGATGTGACCTTTTGTTCTGAACACATCTCGTTTAGGAAGCATCTCAAACCGGACGCAGCTGGGCTCGGGCTCCTCTTTCCCCTTCGTGCCGCCCGGGACTCGTCAGGTCACTGCGAACGACCGAGTCGTGGGAGAGTCTGGAGTCTCGGTGTCGGGGTCGGAGACGGGTGGGTGGCCGGTGGGAGTTCTACATGTGGAATTGGATCAAGTTGAAACTGGTAGTAACTTAGTAGATCTTAGTAGTAAATAATAAAACAGGGAAGGTGTGAAGGAACAGTGGCGCATGATCTTGGCCAAGCTGTACGCCGTACAGGCTGTACATGCTGTCAACCATGAACATGTCCTGGTATTGTGTTAAACATGCAAATTGACTCCATCACCCACTTGTAGACAAGCTCGCGCCCCGCGTGCTGCACCTGGTGGATGTCCATCAAGGTTTTGGACGAATTCAAATTTAATTAACATAATAAGTTATATGTCAGTTTTGGTGCTCGGCTGTCAGAAGTGAAAAGTAGATTTTAAGCTTGTCTGGGGCATGACTGAACATACAATCCGCTGATGGAGGGCATGAGTGGGGTGAGCAGTTGCCCTGCCTTGGCAAACTTGGAAAGGACGCTGGAAGCTCCAGCAGTTTTCTCAGAGTTCAAATCATCCAGGAAAAAGATAGGAAAACACCAAGGGTGCTTCTATTGCAGCCCAAAGATGAAGATTCGGTCTGGTGGCTTCGGCCAGCGACTCTGATCGCCTAAGGCTTTGGCTGAAACGGCTGAAAAGCAATCAAGCTGGAGCAGTGCCTGAAG